CACCACAAAGGAAGTAAGATGAAAACAATATCAGAAAAGAAAAAGGGAGAGTATGGAAACCCCCCCTCCAAAAAAATGTGTAAGGAGGAATGGGTAGAATGTCACTAACAACTACTCAGTAACATTCTAGTGTAAGATTCCTACTCCTGCCTATATGTTCTTCATCTGTTTGGTTGTTAACCTCAAATGGTATTGTTGAAGTCTATCTAACTAAGAGTACTTCAAGCCTATTTAATTTCTGCCCATCCTTCAAAGTCCAGCACAAGTCCTACCTCCATCACAAAGCTTCCATATCCATCCAGTCTACAGTTATCTGTACTCTAAAATTTTTTTACAGGTTTATTGTCTGTAATGTTCATTTGGCTCTGATGCACATTCATAATTAGCTTTGTGTGCCTTTATGTCTCATCTTACCAATAACACTATAAATTCCATAAGGGAAGAGATTAAGACCTATTTCTTTTGCATCTTACATCCCCCATAATGCCTAGCACAGTGTATTGCAAATAACAGGCACTCAGTATAAATATTTGTTGGTTGGCTGATTGATTGAAAAAGGTCAGAAACGGCATCAAATTTTGGTTAATCCCTACATCATGTACTCAATAAACATTAATAATTATTACAAAATCATTTAAAATGTCTATAGAATTTCTACAGTGTGTATACAATAGTGCTGTGGGGATAGACATGAAATAGAAAACACCACTTTTACCTTTTGAAGAGCTTAGCTTAGCCTCTTACTACTTCATGTACACTCTTTTCTCTGAGTTACTGCTGTATTTAAGGTCAGGACTAGTTATCACTCCATTGTTTTCTCCCCCAATGTGATTGTGATCTCCTTGAAAGAAATGGCTAACACTGTGCTTGGAACATAATTTTTTTTTAAATATATTTATTTTTTACAGAGGAAGAGAGAAAGATAGAGACTTAGAAACATTGATGAGAGAGAAACATGGATCAGCTGCCTCCTGCACACCTCCTACTGGGGATGTGCCTGCAACCAAGGTACATGCCCTTGACCAGAATCGAACCTGAAACCTTTCAGTCTGCAGACCAACGCTCTATCCACTGAGCCAAACCAGTTAGGGCTGGGAAATTTAATCACAGAATTGGAATGGTCTGTAGAGCTTTCTCTATTGTTAGACTTCTCACACAAACAAAAATTCCTTTTATTTTATTACTAGAGGCCTGCTGCACAAAATTCATGCACATTAAAGGGGAATTAGAGGAAATATTTTAATATTGCCACTTGCCCTTTCTCTATAATAGAAGTGTCAGAGATGAAAGAAAATTAGTAAAATGTATATGAAAATCTTCCTCCTGTCGGAGTCTGGGGCATGCCCCAGGACCCAGAGTCAAGTTCCCACCCACCCGCGCTCGCCTTGAAATCGTGCGAGACCCAGGTCCAGCTGGCCCCAACTCTGTCAAGCCCCACGTTGGGGGGGGGTGCAACCTCAGTCCTATGGCCTGGCGCCAGTAAGGGGGAGGGGGGTGCAGCCTCAGGTCCCCTGTCAAGCCCTGCCAGGTAAGTGATGCAGCCTCAGTTCCCCAGTGCACGCCAAGTGGGGGGCATAGCCTGAGGTCCCCTGTCAAGCCCCACCAGGAAAAGGGCACAGCCTCACATCCCCCACAGCCATCTTGTGTTACGGGAAACCCGTCTCCACTGTGGGCACAGCAATCTTGTGATGGTTTGAGGGTTAATTTGCATATTATCTCTTTATTATATAAGAAGGATATGCTTCCAGTATTAGGAATTAACCCAAATAGGAAACACAGGAGGAAGAGTAAGTTCAGGGGCTAGATAATGAGTTGAATTTTGACTACGTGCAGTTTATGATTGTTAGCCAACCAGGTGTAGACAAACAACGGAAATTCAAGTCCCAATCTCAGGAGAGAGGTCAAGGCTGAAGATAAAGTCTTAGGAATCTTGGGCGTGGAAGTTGAAACACTAAGACTGAGTAACACTGCCAAGGACAAGAGAAGACAGAAGTCAAGGGCAGAGTCTCTGAGAATTTCCTCACTTGGAAAATGAGAGGAGAAATCAATGAAGTCGGAGAACTGGAAGACAAAGAAGAGAGTTTTAAGGAGAGGCTGGTCAGAGTCAATAGATGATGGAGCAATGAAGTTAGAGAGCATAGAATGAGCAAAGGTTATTTGATCTGGTGAATAAGAAGCCAGTCCTTAGGTAACTGTGGAGAGGACAGTCTCAGTGAAGTAATGTCTCATTTTTACTTACCCCCATTGACTAGCTCATACATCTTTGTTGAATAATTGAGTAAATGGGTGGATGAGTAATAGTTCCTTCCTCCAAAAAGGAGGTGATGGGAAAAGAGTAAACAAAGTAGCCTTTTTATCCCTTCTAAAGCAAGAGGGAAACATAAGTGATAATAGAGAAATATTAATGTGAAAAAGAGAAAAGTTAAGAGTTATGATTTTCCCAAAACAACATGAAATTCATCTGAGAATGTATCACAGGCTCTATTCTCAGTTTGATGGAGTAAACTCTCAATAGATAATAACTATAAACTCCGGCGCACACACACACACACACACACACACACACACACAAACAGTGATAGAGAGTAATCAATAGCAGGCAGATATCGGAGGGAGGTTGGAACTTAGAATCAGTGAACAGTATGGAGCAGTTTCCCATATTTATGGCTTTAACCTGACAGTATGCTGCAGTCACTAAAACTATATATGAAATCCTCATCTTTTTAGCCTGAAGAGCCAGAAGACAGGGCCTGGGACAACCATGATCTCCAGAAAGTGTGGGGTAGCTCAGAAAGAGATCCTGAGGAAAGGAGCCCTAAATTACTTCCATAGATTCTCCCCCAAAATCTGTAAGTCACACACGCATAGGGCAGACTCAAAGCAGTTTCCTTCTAAGACTAAAAGAATGGAACTGAGATTTGAGCTAGGTGTCACCAACATAGGAAAGGTGAAGTTTTCTGTTTTAACCTAACCAAGTGAATTGCCAGCTGAAACAAATACATCCAACGTTCTTTCTGGAAAAATTTTTTTTATTGATTTCAGAGAGGAAGGGAGATGAAGATAGAGATAGAAACATCAATGATGAGAGAGAATCATTGATTGGCTGCCTCCTGCATGCGCCCTACTGGGGATCGAACCCACAAACCAAGCATGTGCCTTTGACTGGAATCACCCAAGACCCTCCAGTCTACAGGCCGACTCTCTAGCCACTGAGCAAAACCAGCTAAGGCCACATTCTTTTATTAATATACTAGAGGCCCAATCAATGAAGATTTGTGTAAGAATGGGCCTTCCTTCACCTGCCTTCAGGCACTGTCTTTGCTCCGGCCAGAGCCACCGTTTCGCCTTCCCATGATGCCCAGAGACCCAGAGAGGCTGGGGTGGTGCAGAACACCTGCGTCATTGCCATGGCGACGAAGGCAGGTGTCCCACCTCCAGCTGCTTGGTGCCTGTGTATGCAAATTAACCCAATACCTTTGTTGGGTTAATTTGCATACTCACTCCTGATTGGCTGGTGGGCATCACAAAGGTACAGTCAATTTGCCTCTTTCTCTTTTATTAGTGTAAATATAGTCCTTTGTTTTTATTTTCTGGGATTAAAAAAAAGTATAGGCATAAATGGTTTTACATAATCCTCTTTAAGCTATCCTTTAAAATAATTTATAAAATAGCTTACTTCAGGTCTCTTGGTTATCAAGACCCATCAATGTCACTGTCAGCCTTGATTAAGTGATGGAAAATTTCAGAGCAGAAGAAGTAACTTATGAATGTTTTCCCATTCCCTAAGAATCATAATCATCACAGAAATATCTTATCTTTTCATCATAAATCTCTGGAAAGTAGGTGTGTTCACTCACTGTTAATAGAACAAGGAGAATGTCATAGAGGATTAATCAATGTAAATTGGCTTCCAACCTGCAAAGAAATATTTTGAAAATCATGGGAAAAGTTGGGGGGGGGAATAAAAGAAAAAAATATGACAGGCCATTCTTCTGCCGTAGTGATCATAAGAAGCACATAGCCTTTGTCCTTGGGATTCCAGTGGAATTTCTGTACTACATCTGAGTCAAAACTGCCACGCTACAGGATGAGGAGCAAGTAAGCATGCCAAATGTGCTTACTGCACATCAGATGACCAGCAGTGGTCTGATCCAGATGATTTGTTTGCCATGAATTTTGGGCTATATTTAGTAGGTAAAGACTATCTGAACAAACATATACAATGAGCCTATATCAAAAGTGAGCACAGCTCCACATATATGTACAGCAAAAAGGTTGTTTTCTGGAAGTTTGCCACAAAAAAAAAGTCCTAAACAATTCAACAATCTGAGTAAGAGGCCAGACTTGTTTAACCTGGTGATATATTTCGCTTCAGATTCAGAGCATGAACTTGCTTATAACAAACAAAAATGGCAGCAACACATAAAACTGTGGTGAAATTTAGCATTGCCCCAAACAAGCCCTTTTTCAGAGCCATAGTACCAGTGTCACTGATATAATACAAAGCAGGGTAAACATGGTGGAGAGTGATGACACTAATGTATGAAAATATGAAAGCAGCAGCCGTCCAAATGACAAGGACTGAGGGAAGGAAACTGAGGCCTTGCTAAAGCACCATATCTCAAACTGGTTTTAACACTTATCTGTTACTTGCTTGTTTGGTTTTATCTTCCTCGTTAAACTTTAAGTTCTGTGAGAGCAGGAACCAACTATTTTGTTCACCATTATATTTTCAACTCCTGTTTTGGTACCACTCTTCAAATCTTCCCAAACCTGCCCCTGCTTTTGTAGATTCTTGCTAGGGTGAGCTGACCAGGGCTGGTCATAGGGTCCAGAGACTGCAGGGCTGGTCACAGGGTCCAGATATGGGGTGGGTCTGGGGGTGCACACCAGAGCAGCCAGGCCTGGCCAGGGTGCCTATGTCCACACGCTTTTTGTGTGTGTGTGTGTGTGTGTGTGTGTATGTGTGTGTGTCTTTTTTTGTTGTTGTTATCTTTTTCAGAAATATGGAACAATTTACAAATTTGCATGTCATCCTTGCACAGGGGCCATGCTAATCTCTGTATCGTTCCAATTTTAGTATATATGCTACCAAAGAGAGCACTATATCCACACTCTTGAGGAATATAACAGAATCAAGAGTTTCTATAACAGCATTCACAATGTCCAGGAAACCCTCTAAAGTCACTCAATACATAAAGAATTGGGAAAAGATGAGACATTCTCAAGAGAAAAGACAATTAATGGAGGCCAACCCTGAGATGATGATGCTCAATGAAAAGAGAAAAATTCATTCTAGTAATGAATGAAAAGATAGGTAAAAGTCACCTGGTATAACAGACCACAATTACAAGTAAACAGGACCATGTTTAACCCTCTTTCACTGTATTTTATATATTAACTAGAGGCCCAGTGCACAAAATTCATGCATGGGGGGGTGGTTGTCCCTCAGCCCAGCCTGCACCCTCTCCAATCTGGGACCACTGGAGGACATCCCTCTCACAATCCAGGACTGCTGGCTCCCAATTGCTCGCCTGCCTGCCTTCCTGATTGCCCCTAACCGTTTCTGCCTGCCAGCCTGATCACCCCCTAACCACTCCCCTGACAGCATGATTGATGTATAACTGCTCCCCTGCCAGCCTGTTTGCCCCCAACTTCCCTCCTCTGCAGGCCTGGTCCCTCCCAACTGCCCTCCCCTGCTGGCCTGATCACCCACAACTGCCCTCCCTTGCAGGCCTGGTCCCTCCCAACTGCCCTCCCCTGCTGGCCATCTTGTGGTGGCCATCTTGTGTCCACATGGGAGCAGGATCTTTGACCACATGGGGACAGCCATCTTGTGTGTTGGAGTGATGATCAACCTGCATATTACTTTTATTAGATAGGATAGAGGCCTGGTGCATGGTGGGGGTCAGCTGGTTTGCCCTGAAGGGTGTCCCTGATCAGGATGGGGGTTCCCTTGGGGCGTGGGGCAGCCTGGGTGAGGGGCCTGTGATGGTTTGCAGGCCTACTACGCCCCCCAGCAACCCAGGCAGAGGCCCTGGTATCTGGGGTTTATTTATCTTCTACAATTGAAACTTTGTAGCCTGGAGCAGAGCCAAGCCTTTTGCTAGCTCCATGGTGGGAATTATTTATCTTCTATCATTGAAACTTTGTAGCCTTGAGAGGAGGAGGCCAAGGCAGACCAGGGCTGTGGAAAGCTTGGCTTCCTCCATCGCCGGGGGCAACCCTAGCCTTCTGCTCTCTCCAACTCCGTGGCTGCAACCATTTCTGTTGGAATTTATTTAACTTCTATAATTGAAACTTTGTAGCCTTAAGCAGAGGCCTGGGCCAGCCAGGGTGTGTGGAAAGCTTGGCTTCCTCCATCTCGGGGGAAACCCAAGTCTCCCTCCTGCTCTCCCTGTGGCTGCAGCCATCTTGGTTAGGTTAATTTGCATATTCACTCCTGATTGACTGGTGGGCGTGGCTCTTGGGCATAGCTCGTGGGTGCATTGGAGTGATGGTTAATTTGCATGTTACTCTTTTATTAGATAGGATGGCCTGATACCACTTGTGGATTAACTGAATGCATGGCTTTGTGCAAGGATGCTAATAAGAATGACCTCAGGGGAAGAAGGGGATCATCAGTGGAGACTGCCAGAAGCAGAAGGTAAGACTAACCAGAGACCAGAGAAGGTAAACATGAAAAAACAGGAAATAGGTGGAGGAAGAAAAGACAAGAGAATAGGTATGTATACTTTCATAAATTGGTGCCCTTATGAAAAAAAGGAGCTAGTCATGGGTTTTATAACAGGCATCACTAGCATATTTTTCATGTTACTTTATTATTAACTGTATTAACTGTGTGTTTGTGCTTCATGTCTCACTGTTTCTCCCAGGGCCAGCTGTTATTTCTTCAACTCACATGTGCTGTCATATCGGCCTGATGCTGCCAAAGAAGATCAACTGGACACTAGAGCTGGACATTCTGGAGCCTACTCTTAAAGAAAATTGCATAACCACATGCCTATCTATGTGAGTTATAGATTTAGCAGGCTATGTGGCACAGTCAGGAACCTTCTGAGTGATAAAGGGGATCTGGATAGGGATTTAGGGTGTCCCAGAGGCATTTATAGTAAACAAGAAAGTAGATAAGTTTTCTTTGGACCTAAACCTCATTTATGACAAACAACTCAACTAACTGAACAATGCTGGCTCATAGCCAAGACCATTTTCATAAGATGTTTATACAATTCTGTTGACTTTGTGTACTACTTCTGTCATCCTTGAAGCTTTTACTAGGCTAGAGGGGTGACTGATATGGGATATTAATTTACTAAATGTCAAGTGAGAATGCTGGGATTAGAAATTAATTTTTTAGAAATGAATGGCTTGATTTGAGTACCATCATTTCCCAGAAAGACAGGCTTTCTAGCAAGCTTGTGGTGTTTTGTTTTGTTTCCATATGATAATCCATCTTTTAACCCATTTGGGAACCAGGAACAAAGAGACTGAACCTTAAAAGAAGGACATGTAAAAGGACCAATACAAGATCTTCGCATCATCCATTGACCTTTATATAATTTTCTTAGAGTTCCTGATGATCTAATCTGTAATATAAAAGATTGTGGTTTCTATTGTGGCTACCCTGTGCTAGAGTCATGCACTGCCCAATACAGTAGTCACTAGCCACATGTGACCAAATTTAAATTAAATTAAAACTTTAGCTCCTCAGTTGCCTGGCCACACTTCAAATGTAGTATGTAGCTACTGGCTGCTACATTGGACAGTACAGATGTAGAACATTTCCATCATCACAGAAAGTTCTTCTGGTTAGCACTATAAATCTGGACTCATGGAATAGTTATTTATGACCAGGCATCTCTGCATTTGCATCTAAAGTGACTGATTTTTTTTCATACTCCCTGTTGTCTCTTAGCATTAATGTGTTCAGAGTGACCCCCGGGGAAGCTAAAGCAATTTAACAAACTTATTAGCCCTTTTGCCACACGTGCATACCAGAGTTCTTTAAGGAATGGCCAAATATGGTATATTCAGTAAATATACAGTTAATAGTTAAAGGGAATAAACTAGATGTATCAATAAGGATAGATCTCAAAAACATTTTTTTTGTGAGAAAAAGTTGCTGAATGTAATAATTTATTGCACACAAGACAATACCACATTTTTCCAATGTAAGACTATTTCTTAAAAAGGTCTAGAAGAATACATACCAAACTCATGATCATGGTAACTTCAAGGAGGGGGAAAGTAAGTGGGATAAGGGACTAACAGGAGTTTTAGCTTTTTCTGTAATAGTCTAAAGTTTTAAAGGAAAATATATTCACATATTACTTGTGTAATTAAAATTTTAAAACAGGACTTAAATTTATATATAAATATGTAAATATATGGACAGTACACAAAACCTTAAAGATAGTTGTGTTAAGATTGTGGATAGCCGAAACCGGTTTGGCTCAGTGGTAAAGCATCGGTCTGCGGACTGAAAGGTCCCAGGTTCGATTCCGGTCAGGGGCATGTACATTGGTTGTGGGCACACGCCGGGCACATCCCCGGTAGGGGGTGTGCAAGAGACAGCTAGTCGATGTTTCTCTCTCATCGACGTTTCTAGCTCTCTATCTCTCTCCCTTCCTCTCTGTAAGAAAAATCAATAAAATATTTTTTTTTAAAAAAAGATTGTGGATAATTTTCTTACATTTTCCTATTTTTAAAAAAGTTCTGTTTTGTGGCTATAATGTTAATAGAATAAAAATTTTTAAATAAAATTTTATTTAACTTTTTGTCTGCCTTTCTGCTGCTGACATAGTATTATCACGTAGAAGGTATAGTTATTAAGAGGTAATTGGCGCCCTGGCTGGTTTGGCTCAATGGATAGAGCGTCAGCCTGCGGACTAAAGGGTCCCAAGTTCAATTCTGATCAAGGGCACATGCCTGGGTTGCGGGCTTGGTCCCCAGTAGAGGGCGTACAGGAGGTAGGTGATCAATGATTCTCATCATTGATGTTTCTATCTTCCTCCCTTCCTCTCTGAAATCAATAAAAATATTTTTTTAAAAACAAGAGGCAATTGGCTGTGGTATCATTAGTGCCAGAAGTAGTAGCTCAACATCATTTCTGCAAACATTTTAAATTATCTTTGGTGACAGTCTCCAAAACAGTTTTTCAATATAAGACCTCATTCTGCAGCTACTTCATACTGGCAGGTACACTGGGACCATATAGTTCCTAAAACCAGAGGTTCCATCAGAATATTTATGAGACTTCCCTTCTTACGTTCAGGCCACCTGACTGGTTATGGGTTATGAAATTTGTTCAGATCAAAAATCCCTCCACTTTGTGTGGAACTCAGATCCAAAAGCTGCTTCCTAGGAAAAACCTGGCTTCACCTGTTCCCTACCTTCGTGGGAATGTGGGGTAAACTTCCATGCAGGCAACAACACTGGTCAGGCTTCTCAACTTTCAAGACAGAATGTAAATCCTGTCACTCAACCACCTGTTCATCTGGCTTCCAAAACATATGGATCCTGCTTCAGTCAACAACAGAGCATACCAACATTGCTAGCCTTCACCAGAGAATAAGTGTATTCAGCCTCTGAGGTACTATCAAAAGCCTGGCTGTGAGAATATTTATGGAATATATTGTAAGGGATATTCAATCCATCCACTCCTTCAGGCATTTTAAGTTGTGTCCTCAAATAAAGTTAGAGCACCAGAAAGTTACATGCCTGAGCCATATTAGCTCAGCCCCTGCAGAAAGGCTTTAATGTTACACCCTTGGCTTTTAGCCAGGATTGTTATAAGGGTGTAATATGAAAATCTCTTCTGTGTGTGTTATGAAACTGTTACTGAGGACATTGTCCCTTATGTTAATCCCACATGAGGAATTTCTTATGGAATTCAGTGCCAGCTATGGACCATTATGTAGCTGTTAAAAATTATAATTCTGGAATACTAAATATGAACATCTGTTTTATATTCATTGGGGGGGGGGAAACAGAACACAAAATGGCATATAGATTCTAATTGCAGCCATGTTAAATTATTTGTGTCTGTGGGCAAGAACTGAAAGATGATAGGCAGGGATAAAGATTGTATGAGGGCAATGGAAT